TTTAAAAACAATATCTTTAAATTCAACATTTTATTTCAAAGGATAATGAAATTAATGCTAAAAAGGGTGTACTAAATAACCAGTCTGCGACTCTATCGATCTCAAGATCTCAACCTTTTGTTTCGAAGAATAATGAAGCCAATATTAAGACGAATGTACCAAATGATCAATCTGTAACTTTACCAATTCCAAAACCTCCACCAGGAAAATGTCAATATGCGCATTTGTACTTAAAACTAAATTTAGATAAGTCCACATATAACAGCTATATAGTAAGAATTACTTTGAACTAAAAATTAAATGTTACAAGTTAAATTATTTTTTTTATATATAGAGTGCTTTTTATAATCTTGTTGAACTTTATGCATCCCGCGATGTTGAATACAAGAATATTGATAAAAATTTGAAAGCTAACATTATACGCAAGGTATGTTTGATTTAATTTTTTTGTTTTTGATTTGTCAATTCTTTTGATCTTTAAATCTACAATTACCAGAATTTTTTTTTTCTAATTCAAAAAAAAGAATCCTTTCTTTTCTAAATGTATTGGCGATTGGGCTTTACATTATCTTATGCGTCGAAAAATCAACATTATCTGTATGTATTGCGCTTTGACGAAACTTGAATACTTGTAGGATTATTGAAATGATAATTCTTTGCATAGGTGATAATGCTCATCGTAAAAATAAGCCTAAAAATAATGATGATAAAAGAAAAGCAAAACATAAAGGTAATCAATTTGAGTCTAATATTCAGCGATGTGTAATTGAATTTTTATTTCACAATGAATATAAAGTTACATTTCTTTTATTTTTATCCTTATTTCCATCAAGCCTCTGTTCCTTATAATAATCGATCACAAGACCGAGATGATTCCAGTCCATATTTAATCGATAGTGATAACGATCAAGGAAATTCATCTGTTGTTAAATACATAGAGAAAACTATAGCAACTGATATATCCCATACAAAGAAAAGTTTGTTTTTAGAATATTAACTAATTAGAGATTTGAATTACAATTTACTTTCAGCTAATATTTTTTATTCTGTTACAGAAAATGATGAAGCTAATAATCTTAAATCACAAGTTCGATTGACGAAACCTACCAAAAAAAAATCTAAAGTTGACATTTCTGATGAATATACTAATTCTTTACCTTGAAGATCAACTCGTAACCTCAAAAATAACAAGTAGCTTATTACCAACTGTGATTACGATATTACCACAGGATTCTTTATATCAAACAGTAAAGGTAAATAGTATTTTCATTACATATTGGAAAGATGTTATTTTAGCTGCTAATTAATTCAATATATATATATATTTATTTATATGTTAGATGCTAATATAAATGATATTTAATTATACAATTAGTATACATTTTACATATGTTTATTATATATTTTATGGTTAATATCAGTATGAATAACTTTCAATTGCAAAATAAAAAACTGACAAAATTTGAATAAAAATTTGTCTAAATAATATCCAATTTGGGCTCATTTTTCATTACATATAATGTATATATAATGTACATATAATAAATGAATTTTTGGTTATTTAATGAACAATAAATAGTAAACGTTTTTCAAATGTTTAATGAACAATTATTTTTCATAGGGCAGATACATATGGCGTCCTAAAATGATATATCCATTACCTTGTCTAAGGACTCAAATAATTACAATATATCAAAGGCTAGGCTTTGAAGAACTTTTAAAGAAATGGGTAACTCTGGATAATGAAACCAGCTTATTTTCTGATATCTATGATGGTGAAATATGACGAAAATTTCTATTATACACGGATAATGTAAATCAAGAATGATTTTTCACACCTGCAATAGCCGATTCTCATTTAGGATTAATGATAAATCTCAATTAATTCCAACCATTCAAATCATCTTCGTATAGCAGTGGTGTAATATATAGTATTATATGTAATTTACCACAGGATGTTCGCTTCAAAAAAGAAAATATTTTAACTCTTGGCTTGTTACTAGGACTGAACAAGGTCAAATTACATTGGATAAATCATTATCTTATCCTGATCATAGATGAATTGCTGGAATTCTGGAATAGTATAGATTTACCAGCTACTAACCAGCATCCTGTTGGTAGAAGAATCAGATTAGCGGTAATCTGTTGCAGCAATGATATTCCAGCTGCACAAAAATTATGTGGACACATTTCCGCTTTAGTGGGTTGTTACAGGTGTTACAAGCGTATAGATAGTATAATGTTGTGGGTGAAACCGAAACCTAATTTCTGGCAAAACTATCGAAACTTGACGAAAATAGTTTCATCATTCATGCAAATTCTGAAACTTAACAAAATCTCTAAAACCTAACGTAACCTCCGAAACCTGACGAAACATCCAAAATCTGATGAAACCTTCAAAAATAACGAAACCTCCAAAACAATAATATTTAATTATATTAAATTTAAT